GCTCCTAGGGAAAAATTCAAAAGGGCAAAAGCCCCCAACAAACTCCTTCCTTGCTATTTAACCTCAACTGGAGGGGGGTTGTCCTCATTCAAGGATTTGTTGCAGACTGACCCTCCTACAGGTAGGTTAGTTGTGGATATGCTGATGATTTTAAAGGAATCACCAGAGCTTGCATTGCTAGAAGTTACAGTCATAGGGTCATAGAAACAGAATCCTGAATTTGGATGGGGTCACTGAGGCCATGTAGTCGAACTCCTTACTCAGGGCAAGAATCCAAATTAAAATGTGCCAAGGCAAACGGATCTCTGGATGGTAAAGGTCAGGCTTCACTTCAACCCTACCAAGGCTGACTATCTATGGGTTTGGGGCCCCCTGGATCCTAAGACTGGAGACTAGAGACTGACTCTACTGGGGTTGAAGAACAGGTGGCAGCTGTGGCTAAGAGGATCATTGCACAATTTTGTCCTGTGTACCAACTGTGCCTGTTCCTGGATTGTGAGGCTCTGCTCAGTCACTCATGCCTTAGTCACCTTCTGGTTGGACTACTTCAACATTTCTTACACGGGCTTACCTTTGAAGACCATCTGGAAGTATCCAGAATGCAGCAGGGTGGGTATTTATGGGCATACTTCAGTGTGCACATGTAATGCCACTACTTCACTGGCTGCATATAGACATCTAGGTGCAATTCAAGTGCTGGCTATCATCTATAAGCCCTACATGGCACAGGGTTGGGCATTAGAAAGACTGCTTTTCTCCAATAATTCTGCCTGTCCCACAGCCTTTAATAGGCACACTTCAGGTCACTCCCTTGAAATAATGCCATCTTATAGGACCCAGGAAACCACAGTGCTGTGCTCCCCTCTAATACTGCTGGTTTTCAAAAAGCAGTCAAAACCTGGATCTTTCCTTGGGTGTTTGGGCCAGGATAATTGGAGTACCTGTCCAGAGGAGTGTAGCAAAATTGAGCTCCTGATTGTTGATTAATGGTTGTTCCTTGCTTTCAGCTGGGATTATTTATCTTGGTTTTGTATTTTTGTTTTTTGGTTTATCATACATCATCCAAAGTTGCATTCTTTGAGGTGAGAGGCCATATAAATGCTAGAACAGAATAGAACAGAGAATCCAGGTAGTCCTTGCTTAACGACCATTTAGTTAATGATGGTTTGGAGTTACAATGGCATTGGGAAAAGTGCTTTATGACCTGTACTCGCACTTATGACCGCCGCAAACTGTCACCCCACCAACCACAGTCATGGGATTGTGATTTGCTACCTTTTTTACAACAGTGGTTAAGCGAATCACCACAGTCATTAAGCAAATCACATGGTCATTAAGCACATTCCGGCAAAAAAGCCCATTGGGGAAGCTGGTTTCACTTAATGATCACATGATTCACTTAATGACCATGTGATTCACTTAACCACCATCGTAAAAAAGGGAATAAAATCAGCTTCGGTGACGTGACTATTCGCTTAACGGCCATATCGCTTAGTGACCTAAATTCCAGTCCCTGTTGTGGCTGGATAGCAAGGACTACCTGTATAGAGTAGAGTAGAGTAGAGTAGAGTAGAGTAGAGTAGAGTAGAGTAGAGTAGAGTAGAGTAAATAAAATAATAAATAAAATAAAATAAAATAAATAAA